CGCTCCTGGCAGCGATTGCTGTGGCAGTTGGGTAAATAAATAACCGGCAGCTGGTACAAAGGCTCCCATTGAGTCCTGCCCCCAGTGTCTTTGACCGAGAGAAAAAACAACAAGCTGTGGACTGACTTCTCGCTGCTGCTACAGATGCCTTTTTGTCTGTAAATGACATTATCTTGTATTTGCTGCTTAGCTCCAGTGAAATATGTGTTCAGTTGTTGTGATCTCTTCAAAGTGCCACCATTTTCCTTTTTTTATTATTTTTTTTTTCCAAATGAAAAGTGTTCTTTCCTCCAGCATGTTGCCTCTTAAGCCTGGTAAAGCACAGGAACCTCATCCCGGTAGTATCTGGAGTACTTGGCCACCTTTATTATTATTTTTTTTTCCAAATGAAAAATGTTCTTTCCTCCAGGGTGTTGCCTCTTAAGCTCGGTAAAGCACAGGAACCTCATCCCAGTAGTATCTGGAGTACTTGGCCACCTTTCACTCCTGTTACGAAGCCCAACTTTGACTTGTGGTCACGCTGCTAAACGCAGGCAGAGCATGTGGGGAATTTCCTCCTTGTAGAAGAGGAACTTGGTAGCACTACACTCAGTTTGCTGTGTCCATGCATTTAAATGGGGTTCAGAAGAGCAGGGGTTTTTTGGCCCACTTCCGAATAAACCTCCATACTTGTCTCTGCCTCCTGAGGAAGGTTTTGCCACTTTCCCCCAATGCCATCACATGGCTGCTCCCTTAGTTTGGCCTCCAGCCCTCGAGGCTGGTAGGAGGCAGCCGTGTTGCTCTGGAGGGAGGCTCAGCGTGCCTGAGCCTGTGAATTCTCCTTTGCAGTCTTACTACTTCGACCGTGACGACGTGGCTCTGAAGAACTTTGCCAAGTACTTCCTGCACCAGTCCCACGAGGAGCGGGAGCATGCTGAGAAACTCATGAAGCTGCAGAACCAGCGGGGCGGGCGCATCTTCCTGCAGGACATCAAGGTGAGAGCAGGAGAGTTTTGCTGCATGCCTTGCCCTGCTGCAAAGCCTCCCTGCGGGGCGAACCTGGAAGGTGCTGGGTTTTTTTTTTTTTTTTTTTTTTTTTCTTTTCTTGCCAGTGACTTCTCGCCTCGTTAGCCTGGTTTGTAGAGATAATGCTCGTGACTCCCGTGCTATCAAGTGATATTAAGTTTCCAGTTGCTTGTTGTGGCCTTCCATGGGATTTCATGGCAGTCTTTCCTTCAAATTGCCTTTAATTAAATTATTTAGATCAGCAGAAAATAACTAACTTTCCATGATTGTACTGCTACACAAAATTTAACTCTTCAGGGGGGGTGACATGTTTTCAGCACAATCCTCTTGCCTACCCCAGTGTAGGCTGATATTAGCTTGTGTTGGGAGGGGAAGACAGTAGCTCTGACTGAACTAGAGGAGCTCGCAAAACCAAACATGAGGTGATTTTTAGGGAACATGGGTGGATTTGGATGTGTGTTCAGTGTGTGGGAGTGCCAAGCTTTCTGGAAGTGCCTTCATGCCCCAGATCACTCTTGGTGAGAGAATTTGAGTAGCAAATGCTGTGGAATCTCCAAATGGGGCGGATGGTTTTTGCGAAGTGAGTTAAGCCTGGCCTGGAAGGCCTTGCCCTCCGGCCAGCTCCGTGGGTGCTCAGCAGGGTGCTGTGCTTTTAGAAACCGGATCGCGACGACTGGGAGAACGGGCTGACCGCGATGGAGTGCGCTCTGCACCTGGAGAAAAACGTGAACCAGTCGCTGCTGGAGCTGCACAAGCTGGCGACGGAGAAGAACGACCCGCACGTAAGTGGCAGAGCTGGGAACGCAGCGGCGTGAGGCGTCCCTGGGTCTGGTGCTCTGGAGTTGTTGCCCCCCACGTGGTGGGAGAGGAGCTGTTGCCTCAGGTGTCTGAGGCCTTTCCTACCCAACAGCAGGTGCATGTGTGGTCAGGTCTTTATAGATGTTTACTTTGCTTTCTCATTTTGGGGCAGAAAGAAAAAAGTGTATTAGCTCTGCAGAAAAGGCTTGCTCCCAAGGGGATGTGTTTTGTTTTTTAAACCAATGGATGAATGAGGTTTGGCAGCCTCTTTCTTTGAATGTAAAGCATGAAAATTTTGGAACTTCGTGCCTAAAAGCGCAGCACAGCTGCAAGTTTAAATAGGAAGGTTGTATCAGCGAGGCTAGATTGAGGTTTTTTTCCCTGTATCAGGATGATATTAGTGTGTCACCTAGCGCACTCAGAAGTGCTGTGTGTAAGATTCATAAGAAAATGGAGCAGAACCCTGGTGGGCTCTGCCACTGCAGAAGCAAAGCTTAGAGCCTTGTGTGTCTCAAGTACCTTTTGAAGCTTCAAAGCTGGGTTTCGTGTGCTGCCCCAGCCCTAGAGGAGCTATTGCCACCGCTCTGGTGGCCGAGCAGTGTTCCCTGGCCTCAATGGCGCCTCTTGTCTCCCCGCCAGCTGTGCGACTTCATCGAGACCCACTACCTGGATGAGCAGGTGAAGGCCATCAAGGAGCTGGGCGACCACGTCACCAACCTGCGCAAGATGGGGGCCCCCAAGTACGGCATGGCCGAGTACCTGTTCGATAAGCACACCCTGGGGGACAGTGACAACGAGAGCTGAGCCCTGCCGGGAGCCACCCGGGCGGCTCTGCTGCCTCGCTGCCCAGCAGTGCATGTGTCTTGAGCTGGCCGGATGGAGCAGCCCTCCTGTGCTGTACCAAATAACACCCCTCTTCCCCTTGTGTTTTGTGTACCACCTTGCATCCAATAAAGTGACTTGGTTCAAGAGGGCTTTTGCTGTTTCTCTTCAGGGTGAGCAGCCTGTGTCGATCAGACTACACCTGATGCCGTTGGGGATGGTGTCTGAGGCTGGGCTTGGGTGAAGGGGAATATTTTAGGGGGGTTACGTTTTCCTTTGCTTGCTTAGCACTATTATAAATATATATATTTTTTTCCTCACCTAGCAGGATCTGCAGGAGTTGCTCCCTGATGAAAGTCACATTTAAAAGGGTTTTGCAATGAAAACTGCTCCAATGAACGTGCAAGGAATTGGGCTAGATGGAACCAGCAGCAGTGCGGGAATTGGTGTGGTGGGGTTGAGCTCCTAGCCTGGGAAGAGGGAGGGAGGGTAGGTAGTTGTTGGGGGCTAGAAGGGATCTAGGAGGAAAGGGCCTGGGACAACTTGTCCCGGCAGTGCTCCCTGTGGCATCTGCAGCTGTGCTCGAGGGCTTTCTTACCCTTAAAGCAGCACAGATTTTGTGGCTTGTTATCTTGTGTGCCTCTTGTTGCACGGAAACGAAAATGAGGAAATGAAACAGCTGGGCCTCGACTTCAGCCTTGCTTTTATTAGGGGAGATTAGTGAAAACTCGGAGCTTTCACGTTGCTGCTATCCAGACGGCTTCTCCTAGGAGCGCTCTGCTGTCGGAGGCAGGTGTGGAGCTTGCAGAGGAGACACAGGCTGGCCGGTGCCACTAACTGCAGCCACTTGGAGCAGGTACCTACTGTGCCTTGTTCTTGCTTTCTGCAACACTGGGAAAATTGCTAGACTGATCCGTTAGAGCGCTGCAAGTCCGTACCGAGCGCTGCAACCCTTCCATTTCGGGGCCTGCCTTCCCCCGGAGCAGCATCTGCCGGTGCAGTGCGAGCCCCACATGGAGCCTTGCGGCAAAACCTTCCCATGAGGCTCTTGCGCTCCCTCTCTTCCTTCAGTGAGTAGTTTTAGGGCGAAAATTGCTCTTCTGCTTTAGTGTGCATCTGTGCTGCAGCCCCCCAAGGACCCCTCCTGAGGTTCCCCTCGAGCAGAGCCCCCGTTCTACTGCTGGGTATTGGCAATACCTCGCCAAACCTGTGTGCTCTTTTGGTGCAAAGACAAGAGAATTTCCTGCTGCTGCTGCTGCAATGCTGAAGTCTTGTGCCTGCTGCTGCGCCGGGGCCAGCAGCTGTGCGGGGCTGGGGTGACCTGCTCTCCAGCCCGACGCTCTGGCAGCACTGCTGGGGCTGCCCTGCCCTTCCGTGAGGAGGATGAGGGCCGGCGCGGCCGCGTTGCTAATACGGCAGGTCCCTTGACAGAGGAGTGTGTGCGTTGTGGTCTCCTCCGGCGGGACGGCTGGGGCTACTCTTCGCAGGTGCTTTCACTGGTTTCCAAGATCACCTCCATGAGCCCCACATAGTCGCCCTCGGCTAGGGAGATGCCGGAGTCGTTGGGGGAAGGGTTCTCCGCCCTTCTTGGTTCTTTCGTGGGGTGGAGGTTAGCGCTTCCGCTCCCGCCGTCTCTTGCAATGCCTGCGACCTCTGCAGGATGCTGGTCTGGAGCGTTGGCTGCATGTTCTGAACTTAGGCTGTGAGCGTCGGCGCCTGCGTTCACCGCGTGGGACCTCTCCAGCGCTGGGGATGTCAGGGGGGTGAAGGAGAAGCAGAGGGAGGTGCTGCCTCCGGGGGTTTTGTTACTGGGGGTGTGGAAGGCGCTCGAGTGCTCAGAGTTGGGGGTGGCAGCCGCTGTGTTCTCCAGAGTTAGCCAGGGCGGGCGGCAGCCTTTTAAGCTCTTCAGGCTCTTGAAGCTCCCCTGCTTCTCATGTTCCGGGGAGTCTGCCAGGCAGGGGAATTTAGGGCTCCCTGATGCTGCAGACTGAGCTCCTGGACTCCCCGTGGTGGCAGCTTCTCTGCTTTTATTGTTCGAGTTATTCTTTTCCTCCTCTACTGTCACCACGAGCGAGTCGGGGGCTTTGCCCCGTTCTGCCGTCGGCCACACAAACGTTTCCTTGAGCCCCGAGCCCAGGGAGCTCTGGCTCTTGTAGGTGTCGCTCGTCTTGGATGGTGAGTTGGCGACGACGTCTCGAAGGGACATGGAACACGCGGCGATGCTGGAGAGCGCGGGGGGCTTCTTGCGGCCCTGGCGCCTCGAAGGGAAGATCATGGGGATGGAGCTGATGGGTGTCTGTGGGGCGCTGTAGAAACCGGGTCTCTCGTAGAAGGGGGTCGATATGAAGGCATCAAACTCCCTCAGCTTTCTGTCCTCGCTGTCCCACTGCTCCTGGGTGCTGGTGTCTCCCCTCGGCTGGTTGGTGCCGCAAGGGCTCCCAGGCTTGCCCACGTCTTGGTACGTGTAATGGGAGAAGGGCGACACGGGGTCCCCTCGCCGGCGCAGCAGGTTCATCCGCGACGAGGACCTGGAGAAGGTTGGGGACTGCACGCCCAGGAGGCGGCCCAGGTGTCCCAGCAGCGGTGTGGAGTGGTTGGCCTCCTCGTTCTCCTTGATTTGCTCCAGGGGCTGGAACTCCATCTCCTCTTTCTGCATGCTGGGGAAAGGCAACAGAGGCTGTCACGCAGCCGCGTCCCCTCGCTCTATCCGCGGGTATACATCTCACCTGATGTCAAAGGTAGAGCCGAGGAACGAGGGCCGCTTGTACTCGGCGGTGGCTGCGGTGTAGGGGGGTTGGGGGTCAGGCTCGTTCCAGTACAGGTCCTTCTCCAGAAGGGGCAAGTCCTGGTGCATCTCATCCACTGCCATGAGGGAGACCTGTGGAGGACAGCAGGAACGTCATGGAGTGAAGGAACCTCGAGGAAGGAGGTGTCGAAGGACATGGCAAGGCGGTGCTCGCTAGAGCATGGAGCAGGGCTCCAAGGTGGCAGGTCTCCAGGTCAGGACCAGCAGCACCAGAGCCCTGCGGTCCCGGGCCCTTCCCGGAGCCTGGGATCTCCATGGCTGCTCCTAATGGATGCCCCTCCTGCATGCAGGGAAACCGGGTCCTCCCCTCTCGATCTCCCACCCATGTCCCCGTGGAGATGCTGGCGCCTTCCAAAGGCAGCCCCCAGCTCGGAGGAAGGGGCCTCCTGCCTCTGCCTTACCTGCAGGTTCCTGTCGATGAGCCAGTTGGTTTCGAAGTCGTCATCGTCCTCCCCGAAGGGGTTGATGAGCTGCTCGGCCACCTGTGTGTGGAGAGCGCACGGGAAGGGCCGTGGGGCAGGGGACGTCCCCTGAACTGGGAGCCCTGTTGACCCTCCGCCAAGGGGCAGGTTAAAAATGGGGAAGTTTGGGCATGGCCAGGGGTCCCTGCTGCTGCTCTGGAGCAGGTTCCCCCGGCTCCCGCAGCCTTCCTGCCGCTGCGAAACCCCCCGGCTGCGCGGCTGCGCTGCTGCTCCTCTGCCCTGCACCAGCGAGGCCCAAAGCACAGGGAAGAAGGATGCGCCGGCCAGGGCGAGACACTGGGATCCCGAGACAGCCTTGGCACCGTGCTGAGCCCCTGCTGGCTCTACCACCCGGCCAGCACCTGGCGGGTTGTCTGCAGGCCAAGCAAAACGCAGCTGGGCTTACTGAAACACGCTGGGAAAGCCCTGGGCTGGCTCCGATTCCGGCTCCGGGCACGCTTTCCTGGGCTTACCTTGAGCCAGCCGGCATAGAAGAAGAACTGCAAGAAGGTGAACACGGGCACAAAGAGATCTAATTCATGGCCAGGATAGGCCTTTGCTGGGTCCAGGAACTGCCGCCCGATGAGACATGCCAGGAAGAAGCTGTAAACAGCCACAGCCACCACCTGGGAAAGAGGCCAGAGGAGCTGAGAAGGCCGCCTGGCCCCCAGCGCCTCTCTGACCCGCAGCGAGAGGAGCTGCTCTCTTGGTGGCCTTTGGAAAACCTTGAATTATGTCCCCTTGCCCAAGCCAGGGAGCTCTGAGCTCCTGCTCCTCATGCTGAGCGGTTTTAGATTCGCCCCCTTGCTTGTCCAGACTGGGGGCCACCGTGTGCTTCCTGCTTTTCCCCGGAATCGTGGCACTGGAAACTTCCCTTTTTTAAATGAAAGGCAAGCAGAGGCTCTGGCACGGTCCCCTGCTGTCCGGAGTGGGGTGTTTCCAAGCACAGCGCAGCACCACAGGGCTCGCGAGCTGCTTGTGCTGCTCCCTGTGGCGAGCCGTGCCGGGATGCTTCCGTAACAGGCCTTGCAGTATGGACACCTATAGGATTGGGCCTTGCAGGGGCCCTACGGACCCTGGCTGGGCTCTCTGGTAAGGAGCCTCCTTAACTGCTCCCGGGAGGAGCTGCCGATCCGGGCCTGGAGTTTTCCAAGCTTGGCCCAGCTCTGCTTTGCGGACCTGGCCTCCGGTCGTGCCCCAAAGGTAAATGTGGGCTGCAAACGCAACGCGCGGGGCTGCCGCTCCGCTTCCTTGCGGCCTGTGCAGGAATAGAAGTTACCAATATCCTTCCCGTTACCCTTCTGCATCACGCGAGCGGGGGCCTGTTGGCGCATCAGCGTTATGTGAGCAGCAGCTTGGAGCCAAAGCGTCCGCCCAGGCTCGCACCCGGGGAGCTATCGAGCAGCTAAGTGCAGCCTCCCGGCTCTCCTGTGGGCCCTGGCACAGCTCCACGGGAGCTGGCGCCCACAGCTCGGCTCCGGCGGGGGAAGCTGCCGCCTGGGAAGGTGGGGGTGTTGTGGAGAGCCCATCTGTGCTCGTCTCCGTTTTCACTGGATCTGCGTTATCCCTTATCCTTGAAGGGAACGCGCTTGGGTAGAGGTGACAGTGCCGAAGTTACGGAAACAGAGGGCTGCGTTGAGTGCGTGAGGGCGCTGGCACGGGGTTCCGTGTGGCACGATAGGTGCCAGCGAGGGCAGTGTGTGGGGGACGGGCTCACCTGGGTGTAGACCAGGGGGATGCTGATCCAGTCGTACCCGTAGAGCCGCCCGCACTGGCTGCGCAAAGGGATTAGGTCCATGCGCGGGGGCGAGGGGGAAAAAAAATCGCCACCCACCGCCGCCGGCGGTGCCCCCGTGCCCCTGCCTGCCCTGGGGGAGCTCCTCGCTGCCTGCGTGTCTCCAGCTCGGCCGGGCTCGCTTCTAGCAGAGCTTTGTCTCCTCGCACGGAGCAGCTCAGCACACGAGGCACAAAGTGCCTGGGAAGCGCCCGCCTGTGTCTCCAGACTCCCCAGGCAGCCTGGATAAACAGCCCAGGGGGGAATACCTGTCTCTGGGCCAACAAATCTCCCTGCGGGTGACAGAAACCATGTGGTTCTCTCTGCACATGAATGCTGCCTCCGCAGCCCTGCCTGACATCTGGAAATCCCTGCGGTGCCAGCCAGGGAAGAGGAGCAGAATGTGGCTCACGTTGAGGATGCCCTGGAGCAGCACGCTGTCCCGAATCCTCCCCTCGTTCCGGGCCTTCACCGCCAGGTTGGAAAACCACACGCACGGGATCCAAAACTTGTTGTGGGGGGAATTCAAGCTCTCAAACTTCTTGTGCTCTTCTGGCGTCATGAGGCCTAAGAGGAAAAGAGGAGACAGAGAAGGGATGGTTGTAGAGGGGGGTTAACCTGATCTGAAATGAACATCTAAATTTCTAAGACATCCAAATGGGACCCTGCTCGGCTCCGAGGCTCCCGGAGACGTGCAGAGGGCAACGCGGGTACCGACCTGCCCTCACGACGTGCTCCATGCTGGGGAAGCGCTTGTAGACGGCGGTGCTGACCGAGCGCAGGATGAGCACGCTGCAGAGGTTGCTGTAGCGCACGAGCGTGCGCCGCAGCAGCCGCCCGTACTCATCCTCGCCGTCCACGTTGCAGGAGACCAGGTTCATGATGCGGTCGGGCCACGGGATGCTCTCGTACTGAGCCCACCAGCGCGACACCACCAGAGCCACGTAGAAACCTGGAGCAAATCCCAAGGAGCAGGAGATGGAGGTGCTCGGATAGGCACGGGGGCAGGCAGGGCCAGAGGGCAATTAGGGTCTCTGTGCCACAACAGAGTGTGGCAGCCTGGCTCTCCTGGTGCTATTCGGTGCCTCCCATGTGCACCCAGGGCATGCCTGCACATTTGGACACCCCTCACCGCTGATGCATCCTCCATGGGGATGTTTCGCACAGGCAGAGAGAAGCGTCTGCTCGGCGAGTTCTCCTGCCTGCAGAGCTCGAGCCGGCCAGGGAGCGGGGCTGCCCCTTCCCCTTCCCTGCACGCTCCCGGCCGGAGCTCCTCACCCAGCACGAAGGACACGGGGATGAGCTCGGCGTAGTTGTTGCAGTAGAGCGCCAGCTTCTCGAACATGAGCCGTTGGCTCTCGCTCAGGATCAGCCTGAAATGGAGAAACGGGGGAGTTGGGAAGAGGCTGGGCCTGCCGGGAAAGGAGCCTGCCTCTGAGGTCCACTGATCATCCCACGCAACTCTCCATCCCTGGAAAGAGAAACTATGTCCCTGCCTGGCCTGGAGAAAGGAAATTTGTTGGATACTGATATATTGAGCAGTTAACACCCTGGAGCAGTGAGGAAGGACCTTTTCTCTCCTGCCTGCTCGGCAGATGCAGGCTCTTGTCTACCCTGGAGGAGAGGAACCCTGTGCTTTGTGAGTGCGGGGCAGCAGCCAGCAGGAGCAGGAGGCTCCTCACCTGTAGACAAGACTGATGGTGAAGTAGAGCGCGATGAAGATGAGGAACTCGGAGTAGAGGAGCTTGTAGATGCTTCCTTTCCACTGCAGCAGCAGCTGGGAGAAGGTGCCCAGGCGGGCATCGGCCACGCGGTTGGTGTACGTAATTGTCATGGCAGGGCCTGGCGGGACACGGCGAGGAGCTGCCGGCTCTGTCAGCATGAGGCGGGAGATGAGGACGAGCCCAGCGCCCCAAAGACGCCGGGAGGAAGGAAGCAGAAAGATGGTAGATAAAAGGGACAGAAATGATGAGGTGAGATCAAAATGCAGGTAAGACCAAGTGGGATAGAGACCAGGAAGATAAAATCATGGCGGGCAATTATTTTGATGAGCTTTCCTTCTTTCCCCTGTCCTTGAACCACATGGGAGCTGGTGACAGTGACAGCGAACACATGCTAGGGGAGCCCCAGCTTTTCATGTTGGACTGGCAGGGTGGAGGGGACAGTGGCCACACGATACTTCTCTCTGCCACAAAACGGTTGCTGAAGGTTAATTCTCAGGGTCACAGATTCCAAAGTCACTTACTGCATTTTTTTTCCTCTTATTTTTTACTTTAGAGAGGTCGTTTTTGCAAACCTGCTTGTCAGGAAGTGCTTTGCTATTGCTGGCTGAAAGGAAAGCCAGAACCCAGGAAAGAGATTCCCTGGTGCTGACCCGGACGGAAGCACCTTTGGAGGCTGGCCAGTTTTTCTAACACCTGCACAGCAGCTGTCTCTAAATTTGGCCTGGGCCCCGTGCCTGGACTATGCTGGTCCTGGTCCTGCAGGCAGAACTACCCTCCTTATTTGAGACCCCTCTTCCAACCACACGTTGGATAATAAATCAGGCTGGGAAGAAAGAGGCACCCAGGCCCCAGAGCTGCCTCTCAGCCAGGGAGTGACACCAGCGCATGGGCCTCTACCCTAACCCTGCATAAATAATGATTTATCACCAATTAATAATCCGACTGGCATTGGTATCAATACGAAGTAGGCCAGTAAGTGATGTAGGTTGGCCTTGATGCTCTTGAAGGTCTTTTCCAACCATAATGATTCTCTGATTCTGTGTTGCATTGGCATTTCTCTAACAGATGCACTAATATTAGTCGTTCCTGGGCTCTTGGTGATGGAAGCAAAGAAGGATTTCAGGCAGCAACCACCTACTTACTGGTCCGCAGCAGCAGCTGAGGGCAGGGGAAACTGGGTCCCCGGTTTGTTGGGGACAACTTGGGTCCTGATGAGCTGGTGGAGAGGATGTGGAGAACCAGCAAAGTCTTGTAGTGGCCCTGGCTTTGACTTCTCGGCACCGCTCCTGCTTTGGGCTGCCCTTCTACAGCGCTCGGCGCGTCCTTGGCCCCGTCAGACGGGCCGAGCCGGCACCTGCTGTGCCCAGAGCTCCCCGGCCACGCGCGCGTGCCCCTTGCCAGGGCCACGCGTGCCACTTCCATGTGGGTTTGTGGCCAGCGCACGGGATCGAGAGGAGGGTTCTAACAGCCCTCAGCACTGCGCGTGTGTGAGCGAGTCCGCCGGGGGCCGCTTGCAGGAAGCTGGCCGTGTCCTCCACGCTTTGGGGCTTGGAAGCGAGCGCTCAGGGAGCCTTTTCGTTGCGTAATTCAAATACGGATTCGCTTGTTTTACCAAACATGGAAAACCTCAGCTCTTGTCCGTGTAAATAATGGATGTCACCCACCTCCATGCCGTGCTGCTCAGGCACAGGCTATGGGGCTCTTCCCAGTGCTTTTCCCTTCCCTTCCTTTCCAAGGGAGCTCCTGGGCCGCTGGGACTGCATGAGGGTGTCCCCGGGCACACTCGGGTGCCGCGGGTGCGTGAGGAACGTGATGCGAGGAGGAAGGTCCTTCCCGGCTGCGCTGGCACCCCAGGCTCGCCGGGGAGGACGACCCTGCCCTCCGCACACCCGGCACCGCCTGCGCCCTCCACTTGGCCCGGCCGTCCCCTCGGGAGGAGTCCCCAGCCACCCCGAGCACAGAGCTTTGCCCCTACCAGGCGCAATACCCTCAGACACGGGTGCTCGCTGCGAGCGCAGGGAGCAGGAGAAGGAGCGACGCGTTCTCCCCTCGCGCCCTCGGGGATTGAACCCCACGGGCTCTAAGGAGCCTGGAACCCACTCGGGCGCTGCAGCCGGTCACTTGATGCCATAATCCTTCCTCATGACAAAGGAGACTCTGTTGTCTTTTGCCCCGTTCCCTTCTAATCTTCTGAGTAAGCCCTGGGTGTTTATAGAGGCTGCCGGAGGAGGGGGAGGCAGGGCTGGCGGCTCTGCAGCCGCTGCAAACTCCTGGCACAGCCGCGGCGGCTGCCAGAAACGAGGCATTTTCCTCTAATTCTTTCCTGTTTGGTCCCTCTCTCTGGGTCACGATCTCCCAGGAGCTCCAGGAGATTAAGCAGGGCTGGAATTTTCCACAATTGCTAGAGAAATGTGTCCCCCTTGGGGGCTGCATGGCCCACTCTTCCTGGCGTGTTCCTAGCTCCTTGGATCCATGTGAGCCCCCCTGTTCTCTGGTCTCCTCTGGAAACACCGGCCTCGAGCTCTCCCCAGGTCTCAGCACACGTTTCTGTGTAGGGTTCCCCACCTTCCTCCCTGTCCCTTCTGTCCCTGGAAAACAGGGAGCGAAGAGTTTCTAAGTTGTTCCTCATCTGTAACCGTCTCTCTCTTCCTCATCCAGTGTGGGATCCTTCCTCTTTCCTGTCAAGACCACTTTTAGGAGATTTTTCTTCCATGAGCCTTGGACGCAAGGTCCCTTCCCACCAATCTGGCCTCTCTCGGCTCAGCTATGGTGCCCCTGTGGGCACAGGGCTTGGCCCAACCCACAGCTCTCCAGGACACCCCTGTGTCCTTCCATCCCCTCCCTGTCCACTTGTGTGGGAATTTGTCTCCATTGCCCGAGGGACTATTGGGGATGGTGACAGCTGCCTCCATGAGGCAGCTTGCCATGATGGACGGCCCTATGTCTTGGTTTTCCCTTGGTTATACTAAGCTCTTCTTTGTCACTTGAGACAAGGAATGCCACCCTCCAGAATCCAGTGGCCTTTCCAAGAGCTGCTGCTCAGCTCCAACTAGTCCCTGGTGCCCAAACCACCTAGACACTTGTATTTCCTCCAGGATCTTTGTGGAGCTGCTACAGCTTTCACGGGCTCCTGCAGACAGAGGTGCCGAGAGCCTTAAGCCAAGTTGTGCTTCTGTCTCAGCATCTCTGGCCAACTTCACAGATGTGCTCTGACCTTCCCGGTCTCCTTCGCTTTGCCAGCCACATCCCCTGTGAAGGGGGACCGTGGGTCTGTCCTGTTACGTGTGAGAGGTTTGACTAAGCGTGGGAGAAGCGCTGAGCGAGAAGGATGTCGCCGTCCCTGGCAGTGTTGAAGAGCTATGTAGATGAGGCACTTAGGGATGTGGTTTAGCAGGTGTGGGGTTGAGGGGCTTATGGTTGGACTCGATGATCTTGAAGGTCTTTTCCAACCATAATGATTCTATGATACGCAGTCCTACCTGGGAAGGCTCTGCTGGCTACCATGGCTGCTCCTTGGAGGCGCACGCTCGAGCCTTGATGTTCTGGAGAAGTTGCTCTTGCCTCCTAATGCTACTTTTCCTGGCATTTCACCCCTCTCTACTTTGGGCAGCTGTCTAGCCAGCTTCCAAAACCTTCACCCTTGGGTACTAATGCTGTTCAAACGCAGGAGAGGCTGGGACTGCTCCCTGGGGCTCTGCATGTCCATGTGCTGCGCGAGCCCCTCAGGGCAGCAGCTCTCTTGGGCAGCCTGTGGGTCTAAGGCAGGGGCTGTTGTTGAGCTCGTGGTTTTTTTGCTCGTTACTGGTCTGGCTCTGCTCCCTCTGCGCTGAGATAACCCGTCCTGTGACACCAGCATGGGCTTTTGCTGATTGCCCTGGGTTATTGCGGCTGCACAAAACACGCAGCGCTCTGCTATGGGGATGGGGACATCCCCACAGCTAGGAGAAGTGGAGACCCAGGCTCCTCGGTGAGGCTCTCTGGGGTTGCAATGTGTGGTTTTCCACCATTTTTTCCGCATCAAGAAGGCAGCCAAGTCCCCGGTGAAAATAAACGAGGAGCTAGTTCTCATAATAAGCTTCTCCTCTGCCAGGCCGTCCGTGCTTATGTCTTGGACACTTCTTGTTTAACATCATCATCATCAGGGTTTAATATGTCTCAGCTGTGGGTTTCTGCTGTCTGTATGGCTGAGCCTAGGCGAGAGGAGGGGACCTTCCTCTGCTTCGCTCCGCATCTGCCTAATTTGGAGTTTCTAGGAATTGCCTTGGGTGACGCCTCTACTGGTGTGGACTCTTGGGACACTGGAAGGAAGATGGATGGGAAAGGGGGACTCCAGCAGGCATCGCCATCCACATGTTGCTGCTCTTAGACCGCGATTGCCTAAGGGAGGGCCTGTTTTCTGGTCTACCCGCCACCAAACACGTGGAGGCCTCCTGGCGCCAGGCAGTGTCTAGGTGGAGGACACTCTGTACAGGCTTACGTAGCAGGCAGAGGGACACGTGCACGGATCTGATGAGGGCTAAGTTGCTGAATTGCTGCATCTCCCATGCTTTAGGTAAGGACGGGTATAACTGCAAGGGAAAGGGATGAACCTGGAGCACGTGGGCCTTCTAAGTGACCTTCTAGCACAAACCCGCCGCCATCAGTGGGTGGCTCGAGCCCCCCTGGGAGGGACGAGGTGCTGGAGCAGGCAGGGAAGCCGTTTGGAGCTGACGCCTCTGCTGTGGGAGATAGCGGCCTGGCGGGCCCGGGCGGTCAAGGTGTGGGGCTCGATAGGGCTGGGTTTGCCGCTCGTGCCCTTATCGGCACGAGGGGTGGCCTTGGTGGCTCAGGGGCAGCAAACGTGTGGGGCTGACGGACGGGGCAGGGAGCCGGGCCTGGGCTCCCGGCCGCTGCCCTCGCCCGCAGGTCCCTTCTGTTATCGGGCTTGTTACAGAGCTGCTGCAAGGGCCCTAAAACCTCACTGCTAGGTTGGGGCCTTCTCCTGAAGGGCCTTTTTTGGGGAGCCAGGATCTCAGGCATGCCGGGAGGATGAGTTTGTCCTGCAGCAACAGGCTAGGATATCGGGTATGGCAAAAAAAGTCTTGAAATGCCCCAAAAGCCCCAAATGGGG